AGATCACAGCCCTTACCTAATCTTTCTCCTGGGACAATTCCATGGTGCCACAAACTCCCAAAGTGTATTGGACAATGTATCATGCTAGGGCAAGAACATACTCAGCACTTCCTAACTTCAGCCAAAGTCGAAGCTCCACTTGTCTGCAGAGCTGAATCTTTGAAAGCCAAAGGGAATTTCTGGATGAAAATAGCTCCCCACCCTCAACTTAGGCTAATGCCAAAGTCAGTATACAAGTGGGCATATCTCCAAGAAGGGAACAACCCTCTCAGAGGTCATCCAGTCTTGCTTATAGCACAGGGGTGGGCAAACTTTTTGGCTTGGGGGCCACATTGACTTTTAAAATTTGACAGACGGGCCGGGTCAGCACAAGATTTTTTGGGAATCGCGCCCCCCCTTCCCCCCCTCTTCTCCTCCTTCCCCTCCCCTCGGAGTCCCCCTGAGTCAGGAGTTGCTACTGCCGGCGCGGCTCCGCGCGGCTCCAGTCCCGTGTTGCCTCGGGAAGGGAAAGGCAAAGAGTCGCGGCGGTGCTTTGCAATGGCAGCAGCGGCACCGGAGGCTCAGGCTCAGCGGTTCCTGGTTTTGCCTTCTCCTTCCCAAAGCAACGCGGGACTGGAGCCGCGTGGAGCTGCGCCGGCAGTAGCAACTTCTGACATCCCCAGCCGGACACCTGAGTGGAGCCCGGGCGGAACTGCCTGTTGCTGCTGCCGGAGCACCGCCGGGTCGCCTCCTCCAAGCAGCCCGCCCACCCGCCGGGCTTCCCCTCCGCCGGGCTTCCCCTCCGCCGCGCGGCTTGGGGCCAGGCGCGAGCGCCCGCAAGTTAAAAGGAAGCCGAAAGTTGCTGGGAAGTTGCTCGGGTTTCCGGGGCTTCCAGGCTTAAACTTTGCACAGGCAAAGTTTCAGGCGGGAGCATCTTCCCGCCGAGGAGCGGGAAGGGTTCCGCCCGGTGGGCGGGCGAGCTGCTTGGAGGAGGCGACCGGCGGTGCTCCGAGTTTCCCCTCCGCCGCGCGGCTCAGGGCCAGGCGCAAGCGCCCGCGAGGAAAAAGGAAGCCGCAAGTTGCTTGGAAGTTGCTCGGGTGCTGGGAGCAGGCTTTTAAAGTGCCGCCTGAGCAGGACCGCCAAGCCGGGAAACGGGGCACCAAGGCAGGGCAAGTCTCCACCAGCAGCGGCCTAGCTTTAGGTGGCTCCAAGCAGCCCGCCTGCCCGCCCACCGGGCGGAACCCTTTCCGCTCCTCGGCCGGAAGACGCTCCCGCCTGCAAACTTTGCCTTTGCAAAGTTTAAGCCTGGAAGCCCCGGGGAAAAAAAGGGGGATCGGCGGGGACTCACCTTCGGAGAGGTCGCACTCGAAGGTGATTTCGAACTCCCAGCCGAGGCCTTTGCAAAGTTCTTCTTTTCTTTCCTACCCCAAGAGCGCTCCGCACTGTTTTGCAGCTTTGGGGGCCACGCGGCGCAGGGCAATATGCCACGCCCAGCGATTTTTTTTCAGGGGCGGGCCGGATTGGACAGACCAACGGGCCGGATGTGGCCCGCGGGCTGTAGTTTGCCCACCCCTGTTATAGCAGCTTAGGGCCATCAGGAACCCAGTGACCAGGTTCAGGAGGGAATCCTGAATCCTAGTAACAAGAACCTTCCTCAGTACATTCAACCTCTTCCTCAGATTCTTCCTAATATATTTGATGAAATGAGTATTTTGCATTTCATGAGCAGAAACTTATTTTTTTTTTAAAAAAAAAACAACAATTTCCTTTATGCAAAAAGCCAGGCTATGCAGTTTTCCAGGTTTTCTTTCAATAAATTTCCTTCTTCCATAAAGTCATTTTGTTGAAAAGGTTAAGATCTCAGGCTAGAAAGTAATAAATTTACACGCATTTCTAAAATGACAAAGTTTTCACTTTATCATTATTGGGCAACAAGCATAGATTAATGAGAAAAAAATGAATCAGGCTGCAGCATAACAAAATTGACAAAATAAGGAGACTGAATACCTTCTGAATGCACTGTATATCCTTCCTTTGCTTTATGTAAATAACTAAGGTAGCAGACAAACCCAATGTTCCTTTCTCCTGCTATTTTCCCTACAACAACTCTGTGAAATGGGTTGAACTGAGAGAGTTTTGGCCCAAAGTCACCCAGCCAGCATTCATGCCCAAGGCAGAACTACTATTGACAGTTACCCATTTTCTAGCCTGGTATCTTAACCATTTGACAAAGCTGACTTTATAAACGAAGGAAATTTATTCAAAGAAATATTTGAAGTCTTCATAGCCTCCCTTATTAAATAGTTTTTTTAATGTTTTGAGCTCATAAAATACAAAATACTCATTTCAATAACTGTAGAATCATGAACCACCATAACAAAATTGAAAAAAAGTGAAGGGGGTCTGAATACTTTGTGAATGCACTGTAAATAAATGATTTTTTTAAAAAATCAGAAATAACATTCAAGGCCCTACTCTACGTTTGTGATCATAGAAAGGGTTTCTTACACAGAGAAAAGAGATTCCTGGAATTCTCCAGCATGACTTCTGCATGGAGTGCTTTTTGGTCAGCATCCAGTTGAGACCACTCCTCCTCGGAGAAATACACAGCCACTTCCTCAAAAGAAAAAATATCCTGAAAAAGGACACAAGGTTCCTTATTAACAGAGAATCCCAAGAAAAATGGGATAATTTCCTCCACCAATTCTAGGAAACAGATCCACTGAAAAAAAAATATGAGAATCTTCTGCAGAATTAAGAATAAGATCTCACCGCTTTTGGCTAATGGCACAACCAAACCATGTTTGATCAAGCTGGAAGTATCTGGAATGCCTTACAGTGTAACCAATTAAACTATTCTTGGTCAATTGATAGTTGGGTCTTAAATCCACTACTTATCAGTGACTCCCATTCTTCCTAGGATGGGCAGAGCAAAATACTGGCAAAACCCACCTCACATGTTTTCCAATGGCTTACTTTATCCACTGAGGGAGAAACGTAGCCAACCTCCAAACCTTCACGAAGGAATTGGAAGAGCTTGTAACAGAACTCTATATGTCGATAGAGATTCTCAATCATCAGGTCATGGTTGTACCAAAGACGCTTTTTAAAAGGCAAAAATGGATATGTTTTTTAGTCTGGTCAATGAAATCTAATGGTGAAGCAGGATGGGTGGAGAAGGCATCTCACAAAGGATCCTCTTAGAACAGGGGTATCACACTCAAGGCCCGTGAAGTGGTTGGATCCGGCCCTTGGGGCCATCCTGGTCTACCCAATGCAAAGAAGAAAGATGTCAAATTTGTATTGCTTAGAAAAAGCAATTTTATACATTGAACTCTAGAACAAAATGAAATCCATTCAAGATTTATGGACCATTTCCAATGTTTCTCCTCATTACCTGAAGTACTGGTTCAGCTCCAGCACAAAGAGGTGATTCTAAAAAGTCCACGGTCAGCTTTCTACTCTCTATGAGAAAGATAAAAATAGTGGAATTAGATTTTTAAAGAGAGACACTCCAGTAAAGTGAAGCGAAATAATCAGCTAAATGTTGAAACCTCACTTCACATAGAAAGAGCTTTTTTTTTTTTTACCTTGCGTAGCGTCTTGACTTTGATCTTCCTGGAAGTTCTCCCTGAAGAGCAGCTCTTGAGAAGATCTGAATGAATCTTTCCTCCCCTTGGGATACTCAGTCACAGCTTCCACACATTTCTGGACATGATGTGATACGAGAAACAAAGGAAGAGCATAGAGATAGGAATGAATTATCATAGGGCACCTTCAAACTAGCAGCCCTCAATGTCCATTATTGAAACTCTAAACAGAGTGAAAGAATTGACCCAAATACATCCTCCGGAAGAATAGAATAGAACAAATTCCCTTAGGAGTTAATAATCCAAGAAAATTCTGCCAGAGAAGAATTGACAAATTCAGAGAAATCCCCTTTAGAGCTGCCATGATTACATTCTCCCACCTGCAACTCTTCTTCCATGTTTTCCTCCTCCTGAGTCAGCAAGAAGCCTTCAGCCAGGGACACTGCCTGGGAACTGGTCTCTGCTCCACACTCCCGCACCCATTTTGCCATCTCTGGAGGAAGCACAGCCAGCAATTGTTCCAGGAGCACCAGGTCCAGCATCTGAGCCTTGGTGTGTTTTTCTGGTTGCAGCCACTGACGACAAAGGTAGTGAAGCTGAGTGCAAACATCTCGGGGACTGCTCCCCTCCTGGAACTGCACTTTTCTGAAGTGACAGCATTGGACCTCTGAACTGTTGGATGCCTCTTCGTGGCTCTTCTGCCCAGGATTCATTGCCCCATTCCTCCCACAGCTCCAAGGCTGAGCAGCTGGAGGGCCTTTTCTAATTTCGGCATCTGCTGGAGGTTGTCCCTCTATCTTCTCTCTGGTCTCTAATACAGCTCCAAAATGGACCCATGGATCTCCGCAGGTCTTTCTGTTCACAAGAGGTCTGGTGAAATTTTCCAAGGCCATTCAGCTCTCTTCCCAGACAAGATACTTAAAACTTCAGAAGAACCAGAAAATATTTCCAGCTTACACACCTGAAATGGAAAAGAAATAATTCAGGGTGTTTATTAGGGTGATTAATTGACTACTGAGCATCCTTATCAAGGGAGAAAAGGGAAGGGGGAACAGAAGGAAAAAAAAGACAGATTTGGATGAACCTACCAATGTCTGAAATGGTGGAGGAGGGAACGTATTAGTAAGCTTGATCTCTCTACATATGGGGAAAATTGCAGAGAACCCTTCAGGATGTCAATGTCTATCAATATATTAGAAAAATACATTTAAAAATGCTTTTGATTTCTGCCTCCTAGTTTTTATTAAAATTTAATTTTTTATGTTCATGTCTTCTGTATTATTTTTATTATAAATTACTCTAGGAAGCAATTATACATAATGCTTCTTATTTCCCATACAACAGCCCTGTGTGGTAGATTGGGCTGAGAGTTGGGATGGGCTCAAGGCTTTCATGCCAAAGTCTGGACTAGACCTAGAAGTTAATCTCTTGATTTCAAGCCTTGTGCTTTCATCATTGAACCAAATGGCTCTCTATGGCTAACGTTAGTTTTATTTAATACAATAGACAGTTTAATATCATTTCTATGGCTGCATAGTTAAGACCAACTATCTGTCCCATAAACAGCAAATGATATAGGGGCTCTCTAAATCCACTTAATACGTAAATAAACCAACTAGGCTTTCAACACCCAGGCTTTACAAAAGCCAAGCTTGACAAAAAACGCTTGCCCAATCATATCTTAGGAGCACCTCCCTCCTACAACATCTTCCTCATTTACCGGGTGGCAGAACCAGTCAGTGGAGAAAGGCAGGAAACCAAGTTCCAATCCTTGCATACCTTGCACCGAACTTCTTGCACACGGAGTTGCAGCCTTTATACGCTCGCTTCTCTCGGCCTAAGGAGGAGGCGAGGCGAACCCCTTTCTGAAAACGGGGCCAAGAAATATGGAGGAAACTGTGCAGGAGTCAAGGCTGACTTGGAAGCACTCCTCCTCTCCCTCCCATCCAGAGCTTTTCCCGTCGAAATGGAGGGTAAATCCTCTTCTCTGCGACCCTGTTTTTTTTTTTCCCCTTCCTGGAGGAAAATCCGAAGCTTTGCTTTCTCCGCTGCCTGGCCCGTGCATGCACAGGGGTGGTAGGGGAACTTGGGACCACCACCACCCCTTCCCACGACTCCTGATGGAAGTTTTGCATGTCTCCATGCGAGTCTCCAGCACGGGAGATAATCCCCCGACTCCCATCAATGAACCCCGACTCACATCTGGATCTCCAAGTCCAAGACTTCCCTGCAGCCTCTTTGCTTGATAGAAAGGCTGACCCGGACACCGTGGAAAGAGCGGAGAAGCTTTCAAGCCTTTGCTGGAAAATACCTCCGGAAGCACGTCTGTCTCTTGACTAGGAGGGAAGCCGGCACATGCTCAGTTCTCTTGTTAGGCGGGGGCGCGGAAGGAGCTGCCCGGCTCTTCCAGGGAGCCCCCTAGAGGATCCTGTGCGCATTGCGAGAAGACCCTGCAAGGGTGCAGGACGTCATGTTCCATGCGGGGCTGGGATGATGATGGGCATTAAAATTGAAGGAAAGTTTCCCCCTAACATTGCCTATCTAGAAAGGAAGTGGCCTATCCGGCAGGCGTCAGTTTGTAGATTTGCCTCTTTTTAATCTCTAAGAAGCGCCTGTAATCTTGTGAAGACTGAGAATATCTCACCTGTCTTGAAAAGGCAGAAAAATTATAGGCGTAGGAATGTGCATTGCTACAGGAATGCATTTGTCTGCAATTCTTCAAACAAAATATGGCCTTTTCTGGAGAAGAAAGACAGCTGCATAATCCCAGGGGGGAAAAATGCAGTTGCCTTAAAGAATTGTAAACAGGTGCAGCATTCCTTTCTCTGTGCTCTCCAATTTTTTATTATTTTTTATTTGCATTTGAATCCAAAATGCAGTGGTACAGTACAAGAGGCCAAGTAAGAATACACCATCAAGAAAAGTTATTTGAAGTAGGTGCTTTGTAAACTTATTTGTGGCAAATCTTCCCAGCCACTGTTTTGCAAAATCATTCACAATAATAAATATCCATCAGAATCCAAATATATGGTTCCAACTTTAGGTGAAATTTATGGCTGCTTATTTTGTTTCTACTACTAGTAAAGAAATGAGTTATAAATCATTTTTATAATTATTCCTGAAGTAGAAGAAACCATTATATAAAATGCTTCAAATTTAACTGAATATATAATTACAATTAAGCCAAAAATGCAATTCCAGTAAATTAGAATTTGCTCATAGAATTTCCCAGATTAACCCATGACATCTCCAGCAAGTGATAGGAAAGCTCTTTTTCCACCTAAGGTCCAGAAGAAATAGTACTGAATTAAATAGACTAAAAGCATAAAGGTAAACAAAAAAAGAGATATGCAGTGTTATCTTCATTTTAGATGTCTCAAGGGTTTTGTATCTCCCCGTGTTTACTGTGGGAAACAGGTCCAAATGACACTTTGAGTGTTTAAGGTTGCAAATCCCTAGTCTGGTGTGTGTGTAGGTGTGTGTGTGTAGGTGTGTGTGTGTGTGTGTGTGTGTGTGTGTGTAAAAGGCAGCACTGATCACTGATTATAACAGCACAAGAACAGGAACTAAACACCAGATTTATAAAAGCAGGGATTTACTACTAGATAGAACCCAAAGGGTAGATCAGTGTAGATTGTGGAGAATAATAGAGCTAAGAATCTGTGGGAGTTCCGAATCCAGAAGGACAGGCGAGCATTAGATAATCAACCAGACTGTAGTAGTAGACAAATTAATAGACAAAGACCAGAAGGGCTCAGGAGGCCAGGCGAGACGCCCTCGACGTATGTGATGTCAAGTTGGCAATGCCCACTGAGTCACATGACCACCCAGCCACACCCACCCAGCCAGTCATTTAGGGCAGAAAACTGGTTAAATTATTTGAATCCCACCACTGGTCATAACTATGAAAAACAGTCATAAGTCAAACTTTTCATTGCCATTGTAACTTTGATGTTTTGTAAATGAACTGTTGTGAGGATTACCTGTATATGTCTAGTGAGATTCTCTTTTTTTTAAAAAAAATTGTTTTATTATATAAAATAAAAAGAAAAGAAAAATAGAAAATAGAAAATTAAGGGAAGGAAAAGGAGTGTGATGACCCGTAGTCTCTCAAGATAACCCAAAACCCAAAACGTACATTAAAGTCCGGTAATATCTTCAACTTAACTTCACTGTTTTATTAGGCACAAAGTCACAAAAGTAAATAATGAAAATGCAAAAGAAAACCAAAACAAACCACATTGACGAGAGTTCCTAAGCAAGCCAAGATAATTAATCATACATTCCAGGAACGAACAGAAAATAAAAAAGGGGGAAGTCAGGACAGATCAAATAGGAAAAAAAAAAACCTACCGTGTTTCTCAGAAAATAAGGCTGGGCCTTATTTTTTTTTGACCCCCCCCCCCAAAAAAAACAGCTAGGCAGTCTTTTCGAAGGGTGCCTTAATTCCCCCCTCCTGTACCCTTGCCTCTCCATCGGGCCGTTCTTTAGCGGCTGTTAGGAGCACACCATGCGCACCTTTGCTTGCCTACCTATAGCCTGCCATTGTCCACTCTGGAAAGCCTGGCCACTGTGCCGCTGCTTTTGATCCTTGCTTTCCCTGCCACAGTCGTCGCTCATCCAAAGCCACCACCCCCACTTTCTTTCTCACACACAAGAAAAGCAAATAAGAAAAAAAAAATGCAGGGGGAGGCACTTTTGAACACGTCTAGGACTTTTCACTTTTCAGAGGCGTCCATTCTCCTCTAGCCTCTGCCTTTTCTTTGGCTCATAGCTTCCAGAGTTTTCCCAGTCTCTGAATATGCGCGCACACTTGCACACACACACCGGGGGGGAGGGGGCCTGCCGTCCAATGCAGTGTCTATGTATTAATCGGTATTATTCTGCTGTTATTCTCCTCGCTCTTAGAGTTGGAACAACTTTTCTTTAGAGATGTGGGGTGGGTGGGTGGAAGGATCCATTGGAATCACCCGGTCTTTGCAAACCTGAATCGGTTAGCTTTTCAGTGGCCTGATTTCAAAAACGGCAGGTGGGATTGGATAAAGGAGAATTAAAATACAACAAGGCGTGTGGATTCTAAAGAAACAAACGCTTGCTGTCTTGGGTGGCCTTCTGAGTTTGGTTGTCTTTTTCTGCAGCCAGGTGAGGAGCCAAATGGGGGAGTGAGGGGGGACTCTCGGTTAAGTAAGTTGCAGGAGCTGCTATTTCTTCTCCCCTCCCTGCCCCCATTTGACGTTGCCTTTGATCACAAAGCAGATCTTAATGATAAACAACCCTTTTGTAACTTATCAACTGTATGCCAAATCCCAGCCACCTCCCCCCCCCCAGGGGAACCACAAAGCAACACCCCAATTTATTAAAAATCCACCATTTGATTAAAAATAAATAAATAAACCAACCCACTTATTTATTCAAAACCCACAATTTATTCAAGTACAGGAACGATTTATTCAAATAGTTATTCATCTTCTTCTGGAACATCGTCCTAACTCTCCAAATCCTGAATTCTGGCTGGAATCTCTTGTGATTCCATTGCCTGGAAAAGGATTGGTCCCAATCGCTGATGTCTAGCAATAGAGGTCTCCTTAAACGAGCATCTCTTGTCCGTGCATCCTGCTCGTAGTGCGTTGGCAACACAGGTGTCAGTGATGGTATCCCATGCCTTCTTCACCCAGCTCACAACCTCTGCCAGGCTAGGCTTCACGAAGTTTTCACGTTGGTTTCTCTCCATGTGATTCTCAATGTAGTCGTTGATTTGTACCTGCAGATGGTCCTTGAATGGTTTGTTTACTGCAATGTCTAGGGTTTGAAGATGTGCCGTCATTCCTGCAGGAATCATTATTTGATCCACTCTTCTCTGTGTGCAAGAAAACGCTTCATATCTTTGGCATGATGAGTGCTGGCTGCATCCCATATCAGCATGCCTCTTTGGCCACCTCCCACAACAAGTGGCAGTACTAACTCGACCCACTTCCTTATAACCCAAACCCATTAAGCCTGAGGTGGTGGCTGGGATTTGCTTTGTGGTTTGGGGGGGGGAGGGGATTTGGCATACAGTTGGTAAGTTACAAAAGGGTTGTTTATCATTAAGATCTACTTTGTGATCAAAGGCAACATGAAATGGGGGCAGGGAGGGGTGAGGAAATAGTAGCGTGCACAACTTACTCTAAGAGCGAGGAGAATAATAGCAGAATAACACCGATTAATACAGAGAAACTGCATTGGGCAGCCCCCCCCCCCCCCCCCCGTGTGTGCGCGTGTGCACGGGCATATTAGGAGACTGGGAAAACTCTGGAAACTGTAAGCCAAAGAGAAAAGGCAGAGTCTAGAGAATGGATACCTCCCACCACCCCAGCAAGCGAATTGGGAAAAGTCAAAAATCCACCATAAAAAAGTTTCCCCGAAAGGGAAATGGGGGCAGGGAGGGGAGAAGAAATAGCAGCTCGCGCAACTTACTTAACTGAGAGTTTCTGAAAGTCCCCCTCACTCCCCTATATGGCTCTTCACCTGGCAAAGAAAAAAACTCAGAAAGCCACTGAGGAAAGGAAAAAGAAGCCTTGCCCTTTAAGGAATAGGCAAAGTTCTTTCCTTTTGTAGATTCAAATTTCCCGGCTGGGAGAAATGCAAAATGATTTGGTCAGCTGCGTTGAAAGTCAGAATCAGTTTATTAATAGGAAGGCAGGTAAAAAGAAATCTCACAGTGTTCCTAGGATTAATCTAATAAGTGAGTAGGAAAACTTCTCTCTTATACACTTCAGGTTCTTTGATTTTCTTTGAAGTCTTTGATTTGTGTTCGAGTTGAATTCCTGTCTCTTTCCGATTGGGATCTTTTTCTGGGATCTTGGTTTTATTGTCCTGATCCTTTGTAGTTGCTTGTTTGCTAACATGGTTCCTTCCTGCCATGCCTTTTGGTTTGCTTTTCACAAGTTTTTTATAGCTTGCCATCGATTTGATTTTAGCTAGTTTGTAGGGTTTTTTCTCTATATCTCATGCCTGTAATTTTCTCCTTCCTTTGTTGTGAAAAGTAAGCTGGCTCCACCTATTTTAATAGTCCTACTTGACAAAGGGTGGGGGCTGTTTTCCTAGAAGAGAGGGGAATCGTAACTTCCAACACCACCCAAGACAGCAAGTGTTTGTTTCTTTAGAATCTACACGCCTTGTTGTATTTTAATTCTCCTTTCGCCTCTCCCACCTGCTGTTTTTTTGAATTCGGGCTGCTGAAAAGCTAACCGATGCAAAGACCCAGTGATTCTAATGGATCCGCACCCCCCAAACTCTTTCTCTAAATAAAAGTTGCTCCAACTTTGGAAGGGAGCTTA